CCGACTTATTTACTAGTTAAATCAATGATTGAAATCATAATAAAACACACAATATGAAATACAACTCAACAAGCCAAACAGAAATTAGAGCACAAATGCGCAAAATAAATGAGGGTGTGGGTGTGGGTGTGAGGTGTGGGTGGGTGTGGGGTGTGGGTGGGTGGTGTGGGTTGAGGGTGTGGGTGTTGGTGGGTGTGGGTGTGGGGTGTGGGTGTGGGTTGGTGGGTGTGGATATTATTTTTGAGACCCACATCCACACCCAGACCCACACCCACACCCAGACCCACACCCACACCAACTGATTGTAGATTCGGATTTCTCGACCTTGATTACCTTCGGTTAATCCTTATAAAAAACCATTACTTTTGAAAAAGTTCTGTCCTTGATGAACAAAATCGAACTCAAAATTCTGAAAAACTGAGTGTAGATTTCGATTCCTCGACTCCGATTACTTTCGATTGAGCCTTATGAAAAAATCATTATTTTTGAAAAAAAAAACGTTTCCATTGATGGAAAAAATCGAACTAAAAGTTTCGAGAAACCGAGTACACTCGGAGTCTGTATGGACGATATCAGAGTGATACCAGTGAAAACCCGTTAATGGTAAGGGTCGGTTATCATCATCGTTGCATCACTGGCCGAGACCGAGACCGAGACTACTCGGACCGAGAGTCTCGGTTCGATCTCGATCTCGGTACATCCATCAATAAAACCTTTCGAAAAGAAAAAGATTTTATCTACCCTGCGAATAAATATCGCCAAAAACATAATAACACTTTTCAGAAAATATTGATTTATGAACCGGATGATCAATATAACCTGCTTTAAGCATAGTTGAGGCATACTTTCTTGCATCATATCGTTTAATAAATCCAGGAACATTTTTAAATAACCAATTCACTAAATCAAAACCTAAAATAATATTCATAAAAATTAATTATTTTTAAAAATAATTTCTTTTTTTTTATTATGCTCATGGATGTAACACTCTGAAGTGCTTACATAAAGAGAAAAAGAAATATAGATGTATAAGCGAGAAGCTGCATCATTAAAGCAAAGCGTTACAATTTATGCCATCAATATATTATGCTGAGTAACAATTTTTGCTTGTAGGGATACTTAGAGAGTAAATAAATGAAAAAACGAATAAACAAAGTGTGAAGAGAAGAGAGAGAAGTACTGATGATAAGCGGCAGTGAACATACGCGAGTAGAGCGAGCAACTAGAAAAAAGAAGAACAAACTAAAAGAAACGAACGAGAGAGAAAACACAAAGTAAAGAAAGAGAGAACAGAAACGAAATTAAACGACTAAAAAAGGAAAAAGAAAAACAAATTGAGTAAAGCATTACATTTATGCATCTTTCTGTGATATTAATTCGTATCAACAAAGGACAACCACTTTAAAAGAAACGATTCGAGTCGATCTTTCAATTGTCGCACATGCTGTGTGCGAAAAAAATGACCAAGGTGATCATTTTTTCTTTTACAAAAATTATCCCAACCAAAGATATCTTCATAGAAGAATGAAGACCCCAGATCAATCATGAACATGGTTTTTAATCTACGTTGAATATATTTTTTAACGCAAAATTGTAAGGGCTGTTCAGAAGTAACTTTAAACAGATGATGCGCAGAAATGAAGGGACAGTGATGCACCAACCGAAGTCCTACACGGAATTTTTGTTGCAATATATGTTGTAGAGATTCTGGGAGGAGAGGGAAAAACGGGAATAGTCACGTGAAATGCGGAAAAGTGTAAGCGAAGAAGCATTGACGAAAAGCTTTACATGACATTTTGCGACCGGACTTCATCTATTTCAGTTTTCCTAGCGATCTCTGAATATTTCCTATGTTTTTATCGACTGTCGGTTTTAACGAAAGTTTATCCGTCCAAGTAAACCCTAGGTATTTGAATTCTTTGACTAATTCGATTTTGTTTCCGTCTATTGTTACGTTTACTATAGGTCTTTTAACTTGTGTATGAAATAATTGTACTACAGTTTTTGAAACATTTAACGGCTGTTTCCACTTTTCTGAGTACCTAAAAACCTGATTACAAACTCGTGTACCTTCTTTTTCTAAGTATTCAATCATCGAGCCTAAAGTTTTCATTATGGGAGGTTTGATTAATACACACAGATCATCTGCAAATAGATGACATGAATCAGCTCCTAGATAATTTGTCAGATCTGAGTGAAACACTATAAATAAATACGGACTAAGACTACTACCCTGCGGAAGTCCTATATTTATATTAAATATTTTCGAAGTTATTTCACCATATTCTACGTAAACTTTTCTATCTTTTAACCAGGGTGTGGGTTGGGGTGTGGGTGTGCTTGTGTAGTATTCATTCACACCCACATCCACACCCACACATCGACACTCTTACTCACACCCACACCCACACCCACCCACACCCACCCACACCCACACCCATCCACACCCACACCCACACCCACACCCACACCCATCCACACCCACACCCACACCCATCCACACCCACACCCACACCCACACCAAGAAATGATTGCGGTATTTTTATTTTAAGCCATTTTCTATCACGTATATCTAAACCTGAACCAGGTTTAGCCATAGCTCGTGCAATAATATCCATAACAGAATTATTTATTAAATTAAGCCCAAGACCAAAACCTAAAATAAACACAGAGAAAAATTCTTTTCCGTTACAAAATCAAACGACATACGTTCATTATCAGCCATTGTATTATTTGTATTTGATATGGTTGAATTCATACTTGTTGTTGAATTAAGTAACGATTGTTGATGATGAAGTAAGATTTGTTGTTGAGGATTATTATATGTATTTTGTATAGGTTGTGTATGTACAATCCATGATAATGAACCAACAGGACTTGCTTGTTGAATATTAAATGAACTATTTGTTGTTGATGTTAATATTGTATCATCTCGATGATGATGAAGATGTTTGGATTGTTTATTTCCTCCTCCTAAACCACCACCACCACTTGATGTTGTACTATCTTCAATGGAAATAAGACAAACGAGAATACGATCTTGTGTATCAAATGGTAAAATTTCTTCATCATTAATAATTTCTTCTAACTTTTCCCATAGACGGATCATTTGTAACAAAGAAAAATTTATATTTTGAACAATTACGATCAAGAGCATTTTTAAAATCTTTTAAACGTGATAAACCAATTACATTTAATTTTGTTAAATAAGGTGGATCTTGATCATCAATATAATAGAACATTTTAACTAATAGAACACTTATCAATAGAAAAAACAAAATAATATAAAATAACAAAGCCATGTGTGCAGGAAAAGAACTAATAAGAAAATAGTCTAGAAAACAAAAATAATAACACCTATAAATAAATATTGTGTACGCTTTTTTTTTTGTATTATTATTTATATATTTTTATAAAATAAAACTTGATTTCTGGCAAATAATTCTTATTTCAAATTGTGAAAGCATAAAGGCGAAACCAAGTAGAAAAAAAGGAAGGTATTAGTCATCACAGAATGCTTATTGGTTGACTGCTAGCGACAGAAAAGGGACCAATAAAATGGTTTTGGGTCCAATAATCGGTCGAAGCTGGTTAATTCTTTAATTGGTTATCTATAGATGTCGCTTGATGTATAATCGATAGGTAACCAATTAAAGAATTAGGCCAGCTTCGGCGTTCCACTTTGGCTTCGGTCGATTATTATTATCCTCATTTTGACAATACTTTTTCTTTTTAGATACAATATCTCTAAGAGGCATTACACGTAAGCCACGCCTACCCTTGCTCAATCGATGTCACCGATTTGACTGGTATTTTTATAGTAAGTAGATCTAACAAAGTTAGGAAGAAACTGAAAATTTCAGCTCAAACGGAATAGCCAATCTGAAGATATAGACGTGGCAAGTATGAGGAAGTAGGCTATTTTTGAAGTACCTTTCAGCGCAAAATGTTTCAGTAAATTTTTACTTTCTAAAGAACGACAAGAGGTATAATTGAGATTTTTTTACCATATATACTATTGACCATGGGCTATCTTTTGATGGTATCAAAAGTACCTTATTGTAAGATGATATTTGCTTCACACTATATGTCATTTTCAAACAACAGGATACCAGTGTATAGGACCAATTGGTCAAATCAGCGCCCTAGAATAAATTGAGAATAGTATCATCTGAAAGAGCACATCAAATTGCGTCGAATGACGCTTTCAAAATGTTGTGCAAATGAACTTTGGTGGCGAAAATTTCTTGAACAAGACTAGAAAGGCCAAATTTGGGGTCCGATTCTCACTGTGAAGATTAACGATTTATTGCCAAATGTTCAATCTAAGTATTTCAGATGAAAGCCCGCGCCGAAAAATCTCTAAATTCAAAATTTCAGCTAATTTGAACATGTCTGTGAAAAATTGTGAAAGCTTATTTTTGTGAAATTTTATTAATAGCATATATGGTCTGTCTAATTTTTCTAATATTCGTATTTCAATTAAAGTACAACCAAAAGATCTGAAACTTTTACCATGAACTATTCTCATCAAGTCCTTTCTACAGGTGAAGTTTCAAGTCAAAATTCAAACTTTGATTTTTTTACGAACTACCTATGGGAAATTGCCATGGCCCCCTCAGGATGATGAAAAAAAATCAAAGTTTGAATTTTGACTTGAAACTTCACCTGTAGAAAGGACTTGATGAGATTAGTTCATGGTAAAAATTTCAGATCTTTTGGTTGTACTTTAATTGATATTCAGATATTAGAAAACTTTCATAATGTGTGTATAATTTTTTTTTAAATAAGCAAATTATTTAAAAATTATTCAGAAACACTAAAAATTACACGTGAACGATATTTACGTATTCATCGTTCAATACAAACAACATTAAGTTGTGTATTCGATGAAAGATTTCTGGAGCACTCAGGCATCGATTTACGAAAAATTTATGTATATAATGTCAGCAGCTGTAAGAATTTACTTTTCGAAACCTTTGAAACATTATTATGGATCTAAGTGTTCATTTTAATATGAAATATTAAGACTGATGATGAAGACAAGGTGAGTGCTTGATCAAAGTTGAAAGTGAAGCTAACTAAAGGAAAAACGAATCGAGCGTGTGAGACGGCTAGTCTTTGCTATGAACTGTGCTTGTATAGTTGAAATGTATTATATACTACGAAAGATAAAGCAAATAAATCTAAAAACATTTCCTTTAGTACTCAAAAACTTCGATGTATGAAGTCTTTGTTCGACGTAGCGTAAGTCATGGTCTTCAAAATACTTAATTTATTTTTGATGAACTTTCTTTTCTATTAAATTAAAGTTCAATTGAAATTTAGATCTAAGCCATAGTGCTCCAGAAATCTTCATTAAATACAGAATTTAATGTGGTTGGGGTGTGGGTGGGTGTGTGGGTGGGTGTGTGGGTGTGGGTGGGTGTGGGTGTGAGTGGGTGTCGGTGTGGGTGGAGGTGTGGGTGGGTGTGTGACTTGTTTGTTTTCCTCGCGCACATGCTCATCCACACTCACCCACACCCGACCCACACACCCACACACCCACACACCCACACACCCACACACCCACACACCCACACACAACCACACCCACACCCTGTCAAAAGATGATGGTCATTTACGGATGGTTTACACTAATGACAACGAAGTAATTTTCAGCACCCACCTTATTCAAGATGGTTCTTATAAATTTTGGGCAAACGTAAGAAAAAAAGGAAAATTCGCGAATCTAGTTGAAAGTTTTAGGTTGATAAGAAATCATATACTTCATCATTCGATCTGAACGTCCATTTGAATCCTCAACAGTAAATATTAGCTTAGATATTAAAAAAAAAAATAATTTGTTTTTTGTAGATCAAACAATTCATCTCCAGTTGAAATTATGGCTATCGATACATTTGCTTCAGATGCAATTAAAATGATCATGGTTCCCAATAGTCATCTTGACGAAAAACAAACCGTAAATAATGCATGAGAAACTGTTTATCCACGAGTATATCATCGTGATATGGCTTGATACACATCCATCTGAACATGAATTTTTATTTCAAATTATTCCATCCTTTTTTTTTATAAAAGAATTAAAAGAATAAAAATAAAGATTTATCACTTATAAAATATCTTCATCTTGTTAAATTCAATCTTTAGGCATCTCATGATGATTACGTTGTACTTTTTCTACCTGAAACGGAAATGATATTGCACATGAAATATATTTTCTCAGCAAAAATCGATTTAATTGTAGGAGAGAAAGATCGTAGAATGAAAAAAAATTCTGTACGGTAACGTTAAAAATTTTTGTATACATTTTCCACCTCTTACAAAATTTATTTTGCACTACGTCTTTTTCTTTCTTCGTCACATTCTTGAGTTAAATATTTGAAATTAGATAAAGAAATGATGGAATATATTACATGTAGTTTTAATTATTGTATATATGTTAATGTTAAAGTTCTTTTTTTTTGAATTGTATTTGTACAATATTTTCTTTTTCTTTCCATATGTATCAATTCTTTATTTATGATTTTTTTACAAAAAAAATATGCATAAATTAGTGAGTATACTTTTATTTGTAACAACATGTCCACTGATACTGCTTTGGAACCAGTATTTTCCTTAATTCTTTTCTCTCAATTATAGTATCTTTAATCTGTTTTTCTTCACGTGTTATTTCAATAAATGAATGCTCATCTATCTGAGAAAAATAGTCTTTTATAGGTTTAATACATTTATATCTATTAACTAGATGTACAGAAGCCAGTTTTGCACAATTGATTTGCGTTGCATGTCTTGTGAAATTTTCTGTAATCCTTTTCATTGTTTCATAACAGACAATAAGACGAACAGTATTCGGCAGAAACACTTCCGTATGAAGTAGAAATTGTTCCACATAATCATCATGAGCTTGAAGAAGAGTGAGTCGAGTAAGATGAGGATATCTAATAATCGATAAATCTTGATTGTCGTTCTTCGATTTTCTATATAATTTATTCTTATGTGGTTTTTCATTAGTAACAGTTAATTCCTTCACAAATGGAAATGATTGAGCAATTTGAAGAAAAAATTCATATTCAAACGGACGTTCATCAAATAATGATACTGTATGAACATTTTTAAATAATCCACCTGGAAAATTATTTGAAATATTATCATAATAATTCATTCGATATGGATATGAATAAATATGACAAAAACTGTATTGCTTTTCTTGAAAATAATCAACACAAGAAATAATTTGAGTACTTTTAAAGTCTTTGAATGTAGGTTGAATATTTTCATTTGAAGGTATATTTATTTGATCAGGAAGACGATTGAATAAACGAATATTAAATGTAAGTTTATTTAATCTTGGCATATTATTGATAATATCTTCGTTTAAATCGTTTCCATTAATGAATCCTTTATTACGATACACCAAAAGTTGTAAATCAAGTTTTTCTAAATTCAACATCCGATGTAGAAGTGGTACAATTAATTCATCATAATCGTGTACATCCATATCAGAATATAACGAAAAACATCTTAGATTAGGCAATTTATCCTAGAAAAGTTAAAGAAAAATCAATTTATTGGATACTAATTAAAAATAATTAACCCCTCTATGAATCGTTGAACTGGCGCATTCAATGATCATACTATTAACATGAAATGTATGAAGTTGATTAAAACGTCCATCAAGTAAATAAATCAAATCAGTGAAATCAGTTACACGAATATGCAATTCTAAACAAATTAGAAGAAATAACACTTGGAGATGGCATGTCAAATAATGATTGTTGATGCCACATTGAAGATGAATTGAAAGTAAAATATTGTAAATTGGTGAACATAGTAAAGATTTGTGTGAATATAATTTTATTGACATCTTTTGTTAAAATTGAAATGTGTTTTTCATCTTTAATAATATCGATAACAAGTGATGATATTTGTCTTTTGTTTAAACGAGTAAACACAATGTCATCTAAATAAAGATAAGTTTTGAACAAACAAACTATTTTCAATATTGATCAAATCATATTATTGACTTTTTTCAATTTATTTCAAAATAATAATACAACATACAAATTCATACTTGAATTCCTGAATGATTTACTCAACTCATTTATAAATATAATAAAACGAATTCTATTGAAGTTTTATCTATTGCTTATTTGTTCACAATTAAAATAACTTACCATTAAAAAGAGATAGAGCTTTTTCTACATCAATACCATATAAACCAAGTCCATGTAGGTTAGGATAATTTGTAGCAAGAAGAATACGTTCCATAGATGTTGATTCAAGATTAAACCATTTGATTTTATGATGAATTTCAGGTAAAAGGAGGGAGGCGGATAAGGCCATTTTCCCGCCCCCAACGAAATCCAGATTTTTTTATTGGAATGGAGTTAGGTGTGGGTCCTGATCATATTTTATAGATCCATTTTGCAACAGCGCGAA